AGGGCTTTGTTCTGAAATGAAGGATGGCTTCTCAAACAGAGCCAGGGTGGAGGTGTGCCCCTGCAGGGCTCTGCCCCCAGAAAGGGATTGGCTGGGTGTTCTAACGAGGGGCAGCGTGCCCAGGCAGCGCCCTCCTGGCCCAGGAGCCCCCAATGCCAGGCCCAAGATGAAAAGGACCTGCACTGTCTGAATGAGAAGGGAATGTGGGACCTGTCCCTGTGGAGCTGTCCGGCCCAGCCATTTTAGCCTCCGCCTCTGGACTCTGCAGTCCTGAGAGGTGAGGTCTTGCTGAGGGTATCATCAGAGCAAGATCAAAGTCATCTGGAGCTGTTTCCTGTCATCCTAACCTATCAATTGTCATGACAACGATATAATCCTTATGCTCAGCCTGCATTATGGTTGGGGAGTTTCAGAGTGAGCATGCTCAGACCCCCGCTACTTCCTGAAACCATTCAGCTGGGCCTCAGAGGAGTGCTCAGTGCCGCCTCAGGACAGGCCTGCTCAGTGCCACCTCAGGACCAGCTTAGGTAAGTCAGCGGGTCAGCAGTGGATCTTGGATTTGAGGAATGGGCAGCAGCGGGGGGGGGGGGGTAGTGGGGGGAGGTTGGGGTGGGGGGCAGCCCCTCCACAGTGGTGTCTGTTTAACCATGGGGGAAATCGGGTACCATATGCACCCATGTTGGGGACCAGGGATAATAGCATACATCATAGTACCCATGCTCTGACATACCTGGATCCTTCTGGAAGATCCTTACTCCAGTTGAAGATACAAGGCAGGAGTGGAGGAGCTGGACTTCCTCTGACCGGGAACTGAGGGCCACCAAGGCCTTGGGAACATCTTGGGCAATGAGGTTGGTGGGGTGAGGGGGTCCTCTTTCTAGGAAGAGGCAGGCTCTGAGGAGAGATGGACAGACAGGACAGCGAGGGCTCAGCTAAGATAGTGTGGCCGTGGGACGCGATCCTGGGACTAGGCACTAACAGACTTCTGAGGCCAGGCACCCAGCAGCAGGGATCTTGTGCCGGCTACTGAGGCCACCTGGACAGGCTCAGCAAGTGTCCAGGTTAGCCCCCAGCACCGGGGAAGGGGAAGGAGGCAAACACTTGTTCTGTCTTACTGAGAGGGCACAATGTCGGGGGATTAACCACACAGTGGGATGAGGATGCAGACAGCCGAGGGTAGGGGGAAGTAAGACCAGCCGACACACACGCTCAAACCGAAGCGAGCACTAAAAAGTGACTTTTTTTTTTTTTTAACCTATCAGATTGGGAAGAGCATGGTGTGGGGGATGGGCCGCCAGCTCCAGGTGCTGTGCAGTTGACACTGGTAATTTTACAATTCCTGCCCAAAGGGCATTCTGAATTTTAGGGCGGAAATGAGGCTGAAGAAGGTTTTTTGGTTTGTTTCCTTTTTCTTTGTGTGTGTGTGTGAGTGTGTGTGTGTGTGTGTGTGTGTGTGTGTGTGAAAGGTGACGATCGATCGTGTTTCAGCAGACTGCGGGGCAGGCAGAGCACAGGGCCTTGGGCTTCACACGTGGGGCTGCTTGGGACAGGAAAGGCTCTGGAGCTGCCTGGAGACAGCGAAGGAAGAGATGATAACCAGGTGACCAGGAGGGAGATGTGGTTTGAGGACAGGCTGGATAGCGTCAACATGAGCGTGAGCGTGGACAAGGGGAAGTAGGGGTGTGGACAGGTAGAAAGGGACGGGAGGGGGGGTGGGGGGGTGACAGCGGCCCATTGCTCACATAGCCTGCTGGCTACAGCCACACGGATGACATGCCAAGGTCGTCATGCCGGCCGTGACGCAGACGCCTGATGGGGTTCAGCCTGTCACAGGTCCCTCTGAGTGTATACCAAGGAGGCGGACTGAACTCCCCAGGTCCAAGCAGACATCGTGGGCGTGGAACACGACGTGAGCGTGGTCTTTGTGGATGTAATGGGGCCAGCCATTCCCAGCAGTCTCACAGAGATACAGCCCTAAAGATGGTCCAGGATATCAAGAGGGAAAAAAGTCACTACCCACAGCCAGGCCAGACCCCCACAGCAAGCAGAGAGGACAGCGTCGACTTCTTGAAGTGGGCAGACACCAGGGTACTTCTGTCCCTACGAACTCAGCTCGGGTTCATAAGACGACCTGGCCCAGCTACACTCATGGAGCACGGGGCACGCCCCTTCCGTTATTGCAAGATGCCACAACAACTGATCTCGGCTGGTTAGAGATCCTCGAGGTTAGGCGGGAGAGGGGCGCTAAGTGTCCTGAGCAGGGTCCCTTCTGTAATGGGGAAGACTGACCACGGAAAGGGAAACAGCATGTGGCGTGGCAGGGCGGGAAGGAGGGAGCCCCAGGCACGCTGTACTCTCAGAGCAGAAGGCCAGGCCTAGAGTCAAGGATAACAGCTGTGTCAGGGCTGGGGTACCCAGCCCCGCCCTGGTGAGGGGGCCGCACCAGGGCATGGAGATTCCCTTCTCGGCTGCTCCTGCCTGGGCCTCGAGTTTCCTCCTTTGATATGGGTGCTGATGCCGCGGGGCTTAGGGTCATGACCCAGATGTGGATATCAGAGCCTTGTGTTTCCCTGTCTAGGTTGAGCAGATAGCCTCAACCACCCACCCCATCTCCCTGGCCACAGCTGACGGGGGGGGGGCCCAGGGGGGGCTTGACTTTCAGTTGGGACAGTTTCCACCTGCGCATTCTCACCGCAGGCGGGAAGTGTGTAGCATAGCACGCTTTCTGTTGAGCCCTGCTTCCTCTGGCTTCTGCAGATTGGCTGAAAGCCCAGCACCACCCTATTCCTCATCCCCAGGGCTTCTGGGTGCTTAGGATGAACATGGTGCAGTCCCTGCAGGGGACAGACCTGTCCTTCTAGGCTGGCCCTGTTGGCTTTCCAGAACTCTAATTTAGCTGCAAGGAAGGCAGGTACGGTGTGGCCGGCACCCCACTGTCCTAACTCTGGAGCTTCAGGCCCTCCCTGGTCCAAGTGGTCATGTGTTCATTCACTAGGGCCATGACTACTGTTATTTTGAATTTGGAAGGAGAGGGCAGCTCCCTGCATCAGATGTAGAGCAGAGAGCAGCCACCAGGCCTTTAAGGTCACAGCCTGCTGGGGGGGGGGCTTAGGGGCTCAGCACCCGGGGCGGGGGGAGGGGGATGAGTTCGGGTGAAGTGGTACCCTGCGTGGAGCAATGCATCAGACAAGGTGACACCCGGATGGAGTGATGTCTCCCCTCTATCACCCCCCCATCTCTGACTGTGCTGGTGCCAGGTGGGACTCCACCCTTTCAGTTCCTCTCTTGAGGTCTGTGGCCCATGATGCTATTGTCAGTGTTTGGGGGATCCTTTACTGCATCTCAGCCCCCCTCACCCCGGAACTCCGGTAGACAAAGTCAAATCTCCTTGCACATGGGCACAAAAGCTAGGATGGACCTCTACACATAGTACCCACCCAGGGCAGCCTCTGTCACAGCACGTGGGGCTTAGAGGATCTTACAGACCCTTGGCAGGGGCCTCCAGGGGCAGGCACACACTTCAGCAGGTAAAGGCATGGTAGGGACATGTTAGAAGCTACTGAGGACAGTGCTTGACTGTGGCTCTTCCTGGCCTGGCCTCCCTTTAGCGTGTGCCCAGGTGTTACTCTGAACTTCTTCAGGGGCTGGTGAACTTCTGCTTTGGCCTCTTGTCATTTCCAGTTTTCAGAAACACTGGAGAAGGGAGCTGGGGGCCGGGAGCTGGGAGCTCGACCTTCGAGGGTCGCTCCAGGGCTTGGTGTGGAAGTCTGTGGGCTCAGCTTTGCCTGGCCTGGCTTCTAGACAATTCCAGTGGCCACTCCTGAAGGCCTAATGAACTTTGGGCAGATACTGTGGTTATGTCTGACTGAGGGGCAGCCACGGTCCGCATTGTGAGAGAGCAGGCGGGCGGGCAGGCTGGATGCAGTGAGGGGCTCTTCGAGGTTCAGCCCCTGCCCTCCATCTGCAGGCCTGGGGAACACATGGGGCCTGGCAGGCTTGAGTTGTCCCTTGGGCTCTGAGGGCTCTGGATGGGGCTTCTCCAATACAGAGGATGCGCTGAGAACTTCCTCTCAAACCACCTCGGTGGCAGAGGACCTGCCAGAAGCGGCCCCGTCAGTCAGAGAAGGAAAGGACCCGCTGGAGGGACCCTTGTCCCCTTCACATAGGTGATGTGCTTAAATATAGCTTTTGGGTCACACCTACATATCTTTTTTGGTCATTATTTAATCAGAAAAAAAATGTCCTCGGGAAGAATTTCTTTTTGTTTGTTTTTGGTTTTTCGAAACAGGGTTTCTCTGTGGCTTTGGAGCCTGTCCTGGTACTAGCTCTCATAGACCAGGCAGGTCTTGAACTCTGCCTCCTGAGTGCTGGGATTAAAGGCGTGCGCCACCACCACCCGGCTCCTTGGGAAGGATTTTAACATGTTAAAAGTTAGACTTTCTTAAGGTTGTTGGAAACCGACTGTAAAATTTGACCCTCCCGTCACGTGGCTTCAAGTCTCCTTGTGTTCGGTCTCTACAGCACTGACTTGGTTATTTTTACCAACCTGATAGGCAGAAAAAAAAAAATTAAAAAACAAACCAAAAGCAACAACAACAACAACAAAAACAAACAACCCTCTTCCTTATGCTTGTTTTGCATTTCTTGGACTTTTGGGAGCTTCTCTTAATTCTTCTGTGGAAGGCTCACGTGCTGTCCGGCTCTGCCAGCTGTGACAAACAGCGATTTTGACTGTGGTGCCCAGGGCGATGTGCTGGTGCTCATTGGCTTCCCTGGTGCCTGGCTCTCTCTCCTGGGCTTCCTTTCGTTGACTGTGGGAAGCTCCAGACTCTTTGTTGAATGAGTCAACCATGTGACTTAATCCCAAGTGCTGGAATTACAGGCTTGCAGTGCCGAGCCTGGCTGACCGGTTGGTTGATTTGTTTATTCTTGTTTGTCTGTTTGTGGTTTTTGTTAAGTTTTTACCTAAATCCATTTCCCCTTGCTCTATCTCCAGATCCTTTTAAGCCACCAGAGCCACCTTCACAAGGGACACAAAGCCCAGCTGGAACCACCATGAGGTCAGAGCCCACCGGTGCAGCAGGTGAGGCAGTGTCGTTTGACCCTGACACATACAAAGGTCACAGGAATCCTGTGATACACCTGGTCTCATCACTCAAAAATCAACATTCAGATTTAATCCCAGCACTCTGGAGGCAGAGGCAGGCGGATCTCTGAGTTCCAGGCCAGCCTGGTCTACAGAGCTACTTCCAGGACAGCTAGGGATATACAGAGAAATTCTGTCTTGAAAACATACAAACAAAAATACAGCAACAGAAAGAGCTCAAGGTGGGGTTATGGTTCAGTTGGGTAGACATGTATGAAGCCTTGCTTGGTTCAACCTCTACCATCACATAACACCATGCATAGGTCAAGGCTCATTAATCCCTTGACCTCTACATGGACATCCAACATGCTGGCATGGCTCTGGGTGTCAGACAAGCCTGGAACCTCAGCTGCCCATCCTCAGCCTGGATGGATTTCAGAAAGACAGCTTTGGCCATGAGCAGTGGTATGAGATGTCACACAGTGGTCACTGGATGTCAGCTGAGAACCACACTGTACCTCAGGATGATGACATGGGCAGCTGAGGGTTCCAGGCTCCCCTGGAGCCCTGGGGGAGGCCAAGCAACAGATGTCAACCAGGAACCAGGAGACAGTGTTCCTGAGGCCCCCAGATCTAACTCAGGGCATGGCTGAAGGTTTTTTCCACCAGGTGGCCCCTGTGGCCAGAGAAAGAGGATGTGGGCAGTCCTTACAGAACCTCAGCAGTCCCAACTAGTCTGGTCCCGCCAGCTTAACTCCTGCCGTGTCTAGTTGGGACTCTGTGGAACTTCTCTCTTATTTAAAAATGTTTATTTACTGTGTGTGTGTGTGTGTGTGTGTGTGTGTGTGTGTGTATCAGGCATGCATTTGCTACAGTGCACACATGAAGGTCAGAGAACAACTTCTGGGAGTTGGTTCTCGTCTTCTGCTGTGGGATCCTGAGCTCAAACTCAGGTCCTTAGTCTTGGCGCCTCTCCATCAGGTCACCTCTCTACTCCCACCGCGGTTGAGCGTCACACTTTTTCTTGGTATTGTGAATGTCCTGGGGAGGGGACGGGTCCCATAGAGTCCCACTCCCCTTGTCGTTTGTGACCCACAGGAAACGCCACGCCTGGGGTCACCTCCATCCTCCAGACTGCTACAGCCCCCTCCTTGAAGACCTGCCACACTTCGTACGAGGAGAGCAGGGTGTTCCTGGTGGCGGTATACAGTACAGTGTTTATGCTGGGCCTGCCGGCCAACTGCCTAACTGCGTGGCTGACACTGCTGCAGGTGCTGCAGAGGAACGTGCTGGCCGTCTACCTGTTCTGCCTGTCGCTCTGCGAGCTGCTCTACATCGGCACGCTGCCGCTTTGGATCATCTACATCCAGAACCGGCACAAGTGGAACCTGGGTCTGCAGGCCTGCAAGGTGGCCGCTTACATCTTCTTCTGCAACATCTACATCAGCATCCTGTTGCTGTGCTGCATTTCCTGCGACCGCTACATGGCGGTGGTCTATGCCCTGGAGAGCCGAGGCCAGCGCCACCAGAAGACTGCCGTCATCGTTTCTGTGGTTGTGTTTGTTCTTGTTGGACTTGTCAACTACCCGGTGTTTGACATAAAAATGGAGAGGAGCTCCTGCTTTGAGCCCCTGGATATGAACAGTAAGATAGCCAGCTACCACTACCTGCGTTTCACCTTTGGTTTTGCCGTGCCTCTCGGCACTCTAGCCTTCACCAACCACCAAATCTTCAGGAGCATCAAGCTGAGCTCGAGCCTGAGTGCTTCACAGAAAGCTAAGGTGAAGCACTCTGCCATGGCAGTGGTCGCCATCTTCCTGGTCTGCTTTGCTCCCTACCACTTAGTGCTCCTCATCAAGGCTGTCAGCTTTTCCATCATCGGAGGGGACGAGGACGCCGTGTGCGCCTTCGAGGGCAGGCTGTACACGGTCTCCGTGGTGTTTCTGTGCCTGTCCACAGTCAACAGTGTGGCAGACCCCATCATCTATGTGCTGGCTACGGACCATTCTCGGCAAGAAGTGTCCAGAATCCACACAGGGTGGAGGAAGTGGTCCACAAGGATGTATGTTACAGGCTTTAAGGACTCGGAGGAGACACGCTCACCCACGGCGCTTGCAAAAACCTACACCTTCCCCAAGCCTGTGCACCCTCCAGGCTCACAGCTGGCCGAGGTGGACCAGCTGGGCTTACGGTGCTCCCCAGAAAGACTGCCTGAGGAGTACTGTTAAGGCCACTCTTCCTCGGGAGAGGATGCTAAGCCTCGAAACCTTTGAGCCGCCATCTAGGGTGTCCAGAGCACCGTAGATGCCTTTCTGGAGGACACAATGCCGATCTTTCCTTTCTAAGGCCACTCCTCAGCTCTGTAAATGTCTATTCCTTGGCTGTCCAGAACCTTCAGGCTCTCCTGAATGGAAAGTGGCAGTGTTCTGAGGGCATCAGTCACGGACGGGCCTAGGCTGCCAGGGACTCAGGGAGCATGTGGCCGGCTGGAGAACTCAGCAGCAGCAGCTTGCTCAGCAGGGCCCTTGGCAGAGCGCTGGACGATGACTATTTTCTCCGCATCCCTGCATTGTTCGGTGGCTACAGCAGTGTTTATGGGGACTTTCCACAGGGGTAGACATGACCTGCATCCAGCTGACCATCGTGGTGACACAGCCAAAGAGCCCCGGGGGCTGGGAGTCTAACCATGAGGGCTCCCACTGGGGATTGGTTCTATGGAGACATAGGGGAGTCACGGTTGCCAGTTTCTCCAGCTCCTGATAGCCCCATTTATCCTCGCTAGGGACCCCGCTACCGCTTACATTAGGAAGAGCTCGTGGGCACCCCAGGAGGAGCACGGCGTGGTGCTGCCGGGTGTGTCTGGCACCTGGCATGCCTTTCTTTGCCTTGCAACTCCTGGTGCTGGTATCACAGGGGAAGTAGGCTGGCTCTCCTGAAAGGGCAAGCCAGGAGAAAGGCTCTGCACCCCATTTTCTCCAACATTAGATTAGAGACAAAGGCCTGGCTCCGTCATACCCATGTTTTGTTAGCTACCTCACCAAGGCACTCACTGCTGGGACTGACCTCCTCCCCCATGAGACTCCCACATACTTGGAGTACAAGGCCTAGAGACAATGACCTTGGCAGGCTTTGGAGCTGGCCCCTCTGGAGCCCAGTCACAGGAGTTGCACAGAGACAGTGACGATAAGGGACGTCTGAAGTTAACTTTTGATCTTCACTGTGAGAAGTGTTGAGAAAACCTGAGAATAAGGCCACAAAAATAGAAGTGGGTCCTAATTTCCTTTTGTTGTTGTTTATGTTTTGGTTTTTTTGAGACATGGTTTCTTGCAGTTCAATAAGTAGCAGAGGATGACCTGTTCCTCTTGTCATCATTGCCCAAGAGCTGAGATCACAAGCCTTTTAACTTCCTCTGTAGTGGCCCGCGTGCGTGCGTGCATGCATGTGTGTGTGTGTGTGCGCGCGCGCGCACGTGTGTAACATGTATGGAGGCCAAAGGTTAACACCTGCCGTGTTCCCTGCTTGCTCTCCACTTCGTCTGTTGAGGCAGGGGCTCAGGCTGAACCCAGAGCTCACCGCTTTGGCTACTTAGCTTGACCCAGGGATTCCCTATCTCTGCCTTGCAAGCAGAAAGGCCGTCCACGCAGGCCGCCATGCGTGCCTTCCTGCCTCAGCCTTTTCTTTTTGTTTTCTGAGACACGGGTCCTGGAACTCGCTCTGTAGACCAGGCTGGCCTCGAACTCACAGACATCTGCCTGCCTCTCTGCCTCCTCCTGCCTCCTCATTGCTGGGATTAAAGGCGTGCGCCACCATGCCGGCCCTATGACTCATCTTTTATGTGAGTGCTGGGGTCCCAACTCTGTCCTTACTTTTGCAGCAAATGCTTTATGAACTAACCCATATTCCCAGCCTCTGTATTTCCTTTGTAAAAATAAGACGTTGCTACCTCTACAGGGGGATATTGTTCCTCTTGGGGACCAGGACCAAGGACTCTAAGTGTAATGGGGCAGTAGCGGTGAAGGGCAGGTAGCCACCCACAGGGTACAGCAGGCTGAGGATGGACGCCCTGTTTTCTCAGAACACTAACCTGCTCCCACGTTGGGCCTCCATCCCTTCCTCCACAGGCCCCCGATGCCCTCTCTAGCGGCTTCTCCCTGCCTTAGCCTCCCCTTCCTCCAGCCTTAGGGCTCTGACAGCAGCCCCAGGCCAGCATCCCAGAAAAACAGTATCATTGGAACCCTGCCTGAGCAGTCTCTGTGGGGAAGGCAGGTGACCAGAGGCTCCCGAGTGGCCCCTCCCTTGTGGTTCCTCATCATCATCATCACCACCCTGGCCTCGAAGTCGGGAATAACACACACTGTGGGGAGGGGCTAAACAAAGGAAACGCCGATGGAGTTTATTTTTTATTTTTATTTATTTATTTATTTTTGAGACAGAGTTTTTATTTCTGTGTAGCTTTGTAGACCAGGCTGGCCTCGAACTCAACAGAGATCTACCTGCCTCTCTGTCTCCCGAGTGCTGGGATTAAAGGTGTGAGCCACCACCACCTGGCTTAATGGAGTTAATTTTACTGCGTATAAAAGCACATATTCTTGAAAGACTAAGAAGGCAAAAGATTCCAGAAAATGCTCCCACTGGAGGCACGATGGCTACCATTATGTGGTGGTTGCCAGTGTACTCCACCATAGGGATTTCCCAGTAGATCTGAGGCTTACCTCTTCAACCAGGCTGGGAATCCCCACTTTTGTGTGAGTGAGCACATGTGTGAGTGACTGAAAACAGACATTTTTAATTTCTTAACCACTGAGCTGAATCCCTAACTGGGAATCCCCACTTTGCTGGGTTATCAGGGAAGCAACTGAGGCTGGAGACAGGGGAGGAGGGGGCCGAGGGGCAACCTGAAGGGGCCTGGCATGGGCGTGTCTGTGAACGTGAGGGATGCGTGGGACTGGCAGGTGAAGTTAGAAAATGGGTTCTTGCGGAGACCCACGTGGACCTGGGCAGTCTGGACACTGTAGCTCTGTACAGACCAAGCTTGGAGACAAAAGCAAACCCCTAGCAGGAAGGGTGGTGCTTACCCAAGGGGGCAGTAGCTGGCGGAACCTTCCACCTTCCACGGCCCGGTCTGTACAGGAAGGTACCAGGCTACAAGCCAAGCGCCTGTTGCATGCTAAGCCGTGGAGTGCCTGGCTCTGCCTTCTCCACCGCCTTCTCCACGGTAGAGTGGGCTGGTGTGTGGAGCGGACAGCTGGAGAGGTGGTGGGAGGGGCTGGCGGGGGTGGGAGGCTGGGAGGGGCTGGCGGGGGGGGAGGCTGGGAGGGGCTGGCGGGGGGTGGGAGGCTGGGAGGGGCTGGCGGGGGTGGGAGGCGGGGGTGGGAGGGGCTGGCGGGGGTGGGAGGCTGGGAGGGGCTGGCGGGGGTGGGAGGCTGGGAGGGGCTGGCGGGGGGAGTGGGAGGCTGGGAGGGGCTGGCGGGGGTGGGAGGCGGGGGGTGGGAGGGGCTGGCGGGGGGGGGGGAGGCGGGGGGTGGGAGGGGCTGGCGGGGGGGGAGGCTGGGAGGGGGTGGGAGGCGGGGGGAGGCTGGGAGGGGCTGGCGGGGGGGGGTGGGAGGGGGGAGTGGGAGGCTGGGAGGGGCTGGCGGGGGGGGGTGGGAGGCTGGGAGGGGCTGGCGGGGGGGGGAGGCTGGGAGGGGCTGGCGGGGGGGGGGAGGCTGGGAGGGGCTGGCGGGGGTGGGAGGCTGGGAGGGGCTGGCGGGGGTGGGAGCCCCCTCCCCCCACCCCACCTTTTGACCAGGCTTCTTTATTCTCACTCACATCAGCAAAGGTCAAGTCAGGGTTTTGTCATCACTGACTACAGACTTTTCAGACGTTGTCGTCCGATCATGGAAACTTCCTGAGTTAGCTTGGGGTTAATAAGCGCCAGATACTGGCTTCCTCCATCCTTCCAGCTGCATTCACGGCGATGGCGCGCGCTCGCTCGCTCGCTCATGGGCTCGCTTACTCCTTCCCTCTCCCCTTTCTCACACCCCACACCTCTCCCTCCATCTCTTGCACACTGTGACTCTTCCTCCTCCCTCTTCCTCCTTCGTGCCCCTGCAGTCCAGCAGCGAGGGGGTGGGCCCCGGGCAAGCTCATCACGCCATCGGGGGTTCATGGAGCCAAGCACCGGGACTAAAGGCGTGCACCATCCATCACACCTGGCCACTCCTTAGGGCCAGCGCACAGAAGCTGAGGTCCACAGGGGGCCAAGGCTGCACCTTGTGCTGGCAGGAGGGTTTGGTAACGTGTACGGTGACGGCACTGGTTTTAAAGACATGAAACGGTCATGAGAGTAGCTGGCGCTTGGCTCTGCGTTGAATCAGGGCTAGAGTCACTGAAGAGCGGCCTGGAGAGGCTATTAGTGAAGATGCGCGCAGGCCAGGTGCAGAAGAAACCCCTTTAGAGTTGTCGGTACCGTGGGATGACCTCCAAGGCCAGCAGTAGGTATGGGCTAAAGCTGGCCTGAGCCTAGGAGATTTGTGTCCTGTGGTAAACCCTGGAAGCCTAGAGTATTGTGAGTCCCAGCAGCCTGACTCTGGCTTTTATGCTGTTGAACTTTGGTTGTTTTCATCTGAATGTAACTGTGTCCTGGTTTTTCCTTCTGCGAGTAAGAACGTGTTCAGCTGCCGCTTTCATCATCGCCACCATCATCATTGCGTTGGGACAGGGTTTCTCTGTGAAGCCCTGGCTGTTCTGGAAGTCACTATGTAGGCCAGGCTAACCTTGAACTCAGAGATCCGCCCACCCCTGCCTCCAGAGCGCGGGAATTAAAGGCTATTTAACTTATTTTTATTTTACAGGAGCCCATAGTTGAGAGACTTCAGAATCTTACAGAGACTTTGGAGTTCTAGAGAGGCCGTGGGTGTTTTAGAGAGGCTTAAACTTTGAAAGGGATTTTGGCTGTTTTAAGGAGATTGGATTTTAGAGACTGTACGACTTTTGAAGGTATTTGTGATTTATTTTACTATACTAATATTAACAGGCCATCTTGGGGAAACATGAGAAAGGAAAGGTTCTAGCTGAATTCTAGTTAAATAGTGATGTGTCTGCGTGCCAAATTGACAATTGTGCCAGCTACTTTTTATGTCGACTGAATGCTTAAGAACCATTTTGGAAGCGGGAATCTCAATTGAGAAATTTCCCCCACCAGATTTGCCTGCGCACAAGTCTGGGTTGCATTTTCCTGATTAATGATTGATGTGGAGAGACCCAGGTTACTGTGGGCAGTGCCACCCCTGGGCTGGTAGCCCTGGATGTTACTGAGAAAGTAGGTTGAGCAGACCACGAGGAGCAAGCCGATAGGCAGCGATCCTCCACGGCCGTCGTGTCTGTCCCTACCTGCAGGTTCCTTCCTCGAGTTCCCGTCCCGATTGATGACGGACTACAAGGTGAAAGAGGAAATAAACCTTTTTTTCTTCCCAAGCTGCCTTTGGTCCTGCAGCTTTATCAAAGCTATAGAAACCCTAAGGCACCAGTCCCGCCATGGCCGCCAGGGGGCAGCATCACCAAGTCAGAGCAGCCGCCGTGAGCCTGCAAACAAGGCTGAAGGTGCCTGACCCACTCCAGTGCCTTCCAATCTTGAGGCACATCCTTCCAGATGTTTTCTAAACCTCTGCCTGCCTATAGGCACCCCGGAATCATGGAGTCTTGTTCTACATGTGCTTTCCCCCCAATATAAATTTATTATTTGATTTATCTTGATTCTTTTTATTGGCCTCAGCGAAGCGTGGGACTTTTGACAATGCTCCCGAGTCTCCATGCTCCTGGCCTTAAATTGTCTATTTCTTTTTTAATTTAGCTGGGGGAAGTGCGTGTGTCATATAAGTGGAAGTCAGAGGTGAGCCCTGCCTAAGAGTTTTACAGTTAGCCTTTCTCCAGTCCTTCCCTCGAAGGACCTATAGCCTTTTACAAAGGTAACTGTCCATAGCGGGAGGAAACTATCGGACTTTTTGGGGTTTATTGAATACTGGCTCGGAATTAACACTGATTCTGGGAGACCCCAAGAAATATTTTGGCCCTCCTGTTAAAGAAGGGGCTTATGGAGGTTAAGTGATTAATGGAAACGTGGCTGAAGTCCAACTCACAGCAGGTCCAATGGGTCCCTGAACTCATTGTGTGGTTGTTTTCCCAGTCCCAGAAAGTGTAATTGGGGTAGATACACTTAGAATTTGGCAGAATTCTCACACTGCTTCCCTGACCTGTGGAGCGAGGGCTGTTATGGTTGGAAAGACTAAGTGGAAGCCTTTAGAGTTGCCTCTGCCAGGAAAAATAGTGTATCAAGAAGAGTATTGTATCCCTGGAGGAAATACAGAATGGGTAGTAAAGTCAACACCAGCGTGCAAAGTGCATATGACGAGGTGTAAAAACTAGGGTTATAACTT